CCCCGACGGCGCGGCTTGGCCTTGTAGAAGTAGTTGAACTGCATTTTAGTTAAATATACGCCACTTTTGAAGACATCTGTAATGATTGCAAGGATCATTGCATTTACTCTTAGGGCGTGCGCAGGCAAAAATCCTGACCTCTACCCCCAGTCTCCTTAAGAAGTGTCCTTACTTAAGGCAACCAATCAAGTAGTCCAGGTGGCTAACTGAGGTCCTATAGGTGTGGTCACCCCTGTGTTAACCACTGGCATCTGTAAACAGGTTAGTGTCGATTGCATTGTGCAGAGACCATAATGAGACTAAGTCAATGCCAGAACTTCCGGTACTTTGATTTTGTGTTATGTAGGCTGCAAAGACTCTCCGATCTGTCAGCACGGAATAGCTCACTACGTTTCATTTACTTTAATTTTATAGCCTTCTCTATAGTAAATTCCACATTGGTATGCATTATATCTTCATTAGAAACTTTTTTTAAATTCGTTACAATTAACGAGGAATGAAAACTGCGCACTTGCATCCTTTGTGTGTTGTAATGACTGCGCCCTCAGTTACTCACTAAATAAATGCAAATGTTGCAACAAGAAGTTGTGCGTCTTCCTTCATTCGATTAGAGAAAAGGGAAGAGAAGGAGTGAGTCGGCTTATTAATAATTGAAGCACATTTATGTAATATCTTTGTGCAACGAGGATATAATGTCTTGACACAAGCGGTAGGAAAGTTTGACATTCCTTGCATTTGTCGTGTCCATATTCCATCGCGTCCGGTCAGTTGAAACACTACTGTCAGAAAAATTTCTTCCTCTGTAAGTTGTAATAAACGCGACTGAATAATGGTAGTATAACCCGTGACAGACTGCATCATTAATGACACCTTGGGGGACGAAAAACCTGATGTTCGTTGTGAATTAATCGCCTTGACTAAATTATAGTCTAAGTAAGCCTCACATACCTAACAAAAGCAAGCCCCATTCTCAAAGGCTAGAAGAGAATTTATTGGCCTTTTGCACACTGCTTAAATAAGTTGGCAGTAGATTACTGCTTTGTCATGCCAATCAGTTCTCCCCATTCCTTGAAAGGAGAAAATCAGTATGATCTTGCCTACATACTTGACTGTCAGCCACTGAAAAGTGCACGTCGAAGCAGCTCTGTAAAAAAATGCCCTGCCTGCCCTATAAAATCGGCTACCTTGTTTTGCTCTATTTGTAGCTATTCCTTATACACATTCTTCAAATCCATCGTCTTTACCTTCTTCTACTTCTCTTAATTTTACGCAGTACTATATGCTACCACACTTCCTCGGTGTTGGCAATAGTCATGCAATTGAGAGTGCCGGCACAGAAAAGAGATGTAACTATGTAAATGACTATGGATCTTCTCCAACGACGGGTCGACTGTCCCGATAAGGTTGCAGCTAAGTGGTTGCAAAGATCCTTTGGCATTAAATCACTCAATGCAAGCTGGCAGGAAGATATGCAGTGTGCGAAGCACCAACTATCAACTAAGACGCCTCGGATTTGGTTTACTTTACTCCACGTCCAAATCTAGGATCGGTGAATTGGCCCATCAGGGGGGAAGAGAGAGAGACGGGCACGGAGGTGGTATCGCCAAATTCCACTCATTGCGTCTCACATTAAAATGTTGCAATGCCATTAGACAATGATAAGTTGTATTGTCCAAAGGCAACAAATATCGTTTTTAGTTGAAATTAATTATTTGTATTGGTAATTTAATGCATCAGAAGCTTTATTAGGTGTATAAGAACTGTAGAGTTGATGAGTCGCTTTTTCTTCAACAGCACCATAGGCAGAATTTCAAAGAGCATCCACACGAATTAGTCGAAAACAAAATCCCACTCTTCTTAAACTGAGACCTACACTGGAAGAATTCACTGGCATATATCGCCACCAGTTAAAAGGGCACATTTGGCTAAACTGCCACTCCTGTTCCTATCTAGCTAGAATCCACCCTTTCTCCTATCTCCCCACCTTCGCCTCCTTATCTTTTCGCCTTCCATACTCTGAGTACTATAACGTTAATTGAGCAAAGGAAGATCGTCTGGTAAAATTGCATGAGGGTTTAGCAGTCGTTGTGCATGTTATCACCAATGAGGTGAACTACATTTTTGATGTGAAAGACATCAGAGTTCGCCGCTGCAAATGGCAAAACGGAGGATAAATGGGGAGTGAGTGCCGACTTATGCAAGCCCAAATCCATTCATCCTGGCAAGCACTCGCCCACTTTTTACGTATTCATCACCCAAGCGTTGAGGTGAAGCATCAGTTAATATTAAAACTTGGTGATTGTACTTAGCTATCATGCATTAAAATGGCTCAACAGAACCGTAAAGCGTGGCTTTCTGGCAGTTTGCCACTTTTGCATCTGGTAGGAAAAGGAATTGCAAAAGAAAAAGGATGAAGGCGCCTGCAGAGATTTTCAGCTGCATTCGAGGCACACCCTTTACACACAGAAACTTTGCTGGCCGATTTCAATCAGTACATTTATTTGTTTTCATTTTTCTTTTCCTCATCCTCCTCCATCACATTTCTCTCTTTTTCTTACCATTTTAAAATGTAAGCCAAAAGTAGATCTGCGATAATTGCAGCACAAAACTAATCGTCGTGCGTCATAATGCAATGCAGTTTTATATAGCTACACTCCTGCTTGAAAATGAAAAGAAGTCTACATGTTAGACGAAGTAAACAGAACATAAAAGCCAGTCCTAATAGGGAGTCAAGTAAATCGCCCCTGATCTAATGGCTCATTGCGATTACGAAAAAAGGTGATGACATAGACCAATTCACTGGAGTATACGATGCACGAGTGACCAATGCAAACGCATAAAACTATGATTTCAGCACACTTATGAGCAAAATTAAGTCTTCCGGTCGCTCCTGTTAGTGAAGAAAAATCAAACAATGAAACAAATAATCCTAAACAGCCTGGCACCAAACCTACAATGAATACGACTTCTGCATACCACCGTTGAGCAAACATATTTCAGCTGCGTATGTGATGAAACGGAGATCTAATCGTTCACATGGGAAAGCGATCAGGCAAAGTCAAGAAAGTGAATAAGCAAACGCTCCGCATTGCAAAATTGCAACGCAACGCAAGATTTCTCACCTCATGAATCGCTAGAAAGGCGGAAGAGAGGAGGAGAAGGAGGATAGAGAGGGAAGGAGAAGAGTAGTAATTGGAGATAAAGACGAGGGCAGCACATCATGCACATCCTTTCTACTCCCTTATTCACATTTCATTAGCTGCTAGTCATTAGCCTTACTGGGCATCAGTCCATCGAGTGCAAAATAGAATAGAATGTATGGAGACAAAAGTGAGGCATTCACACAAACGAATAGTGCTACATTTGCTACCTCAAAGCGCAAACACATGGGGAAATCCATCTCGACACGTCCTGTCAGTGAGAAGTCTTTATAGTAAGCCAATCAACCAAAACTGCAGTTAAATCTATCCTCATGGAGAGATTTCGCCACTTGTCAGCAGAAGCAGATTGCGACCCCTCACAAAAACGGACAATTTCGCTGCGGAGAAAAGCGACTGCACAATGCCATAAGTGCTTTTACCAGACCATTCATGAATAGTTTATTAGTTGTTAATAACAGGTAAAAATCTCACTAAAATACCATGCTTTTCAGGTTAAAGCTTCCCGTTGGGTGAGCACTGATTTTTTAATGGTCTGAGTAAATGTAACCACATTCACCCAGTTTAAAAAAAAATCAAACACT